GCTCAAATGACTGTTGGCACACTGGGTGCTATACCAAAAAATATTGGATGGTACTTAGAAAATCATTGTACATATAGATTTACATGGCTGCCCAACTCAAACTATATGACTCTGGATGGTATACAATATGCGGAGGTTTCATTTGTGTGTACTTCATTTACTATAGTAAAATTTTATTCACTCCTTAGAAAAGGTTTGTATATGACTCAAACCAGTTAAACCATTTAACTGTAGTAAAATCATATATAGGGAAAAAAAAGCCAAGAGTTGGGTTCCTTGAATGGATACAAAACAGATTGCTGCCCTTTTTTAGAGTATGAACAGGATCGTTTGAAAGGAGGCAGTATATGGATACAACAAAGCCTAATATTTATTGAATTAAATGATACTATCTAGCAATATAGAATCTTGATAGTATGAAGGAATGCAGGGTTGCCATTGTAAGGCCATCCTATTTTTTTTTAATTAAAGGTGTTCCCATGTAGAAGCCACACTAAGGTTTACAATTTTTAAAAACTTCCCTATGTAATGTAACAAACTAAATGTATATAACCTGTAACCTTGGGGCTCTTCTGCAGTTGTTTGGTGGGGACCCCATTGTTCACTGTCATCTATGCATTCCAGTAAAACATACTTGGTTGCATCAATCTCCAATCTTTTTATTCCTAATTTAAAATAAGCAATTTTCTCACAACAAAAACTATAAACTGAGTTCATCATTTTCTGAGAAAAGAGGGCAGGTTTTTTTTCTTCTTCTATCAATCTTATACCAGTGAATACAACTGGCTGTGTTACTAACTTAATACAGAATATAGAAAATATAGCAGTAACAAAGTAGTGCACTCTTAGAATGCTATAGTACATTAAGTTTACTTCATCAGATGACATGGAAACAAAAGATTTGAGGAGGATAATTGTGCATCAGCAATACACTTAAAAGTGCCTAGCAAAGAAAGTCGGGGTAAACATGTCCCCATCCAATCTTATTTCTTTGGTCTATATCGCTTAAGTCAGGTACTCTTGAACATACAGTAACTAACTTGACAGTTTCATTATAGTGTAAATTAGGGTCAACAACCTTTTCAGACAGTGGGCACAATTTTGTGTGATGGCGTGGGCATCAAAAATATAAAAACAGAAGGAAAAAAAATCAGTACTTTCTGTGGAGATTTATTGTAGGAATCCAGATTAAAGGTTCCTTGACAAATGGCTGTCCAGCCTAGGTTTGAAGGGGAACTTATCATCTCACTGGGTGATTGGTGACTGATTCTACCATTAGAAGTGCTCCTGTAGCATTTAACTGGAATTTGACTCCCCTTAGTCCATGTCATGTACTCTTATGTTAGACGATTTATTCAGTGACTTCTTCCTGAGGAGCTCTAACATCTCCACCCCATAGCCAGTTAATCTCAAGGTAGAACACACCAGTTACCTCAAACATTCCCAATGGGACTCAATTCCTAATCTCCTCATTATTCTCCTCAGCTTTCTTTATACCTGTTCCAGTTTCTCTGAATCTTTCTGTCCCTACCTCTAATTTATTTGAATCAAATGCAACCACCAATTGATATATGCTTTCTTCTCCCCCACTCTCCTTTGTCCTTCTCTTGTCCTTCCCCTTCTTCTTTTGTGCCACTACTTTTTATAAGCCATCTGACATTTTGTGATGTGCGCTCCACAGTGATGGTGTTCTACAGTTACTTTTTTGATAATGGCATTGTTCTATTCTAAAGCCCTCAAGAATACCACCTTGTTTTGCCAGGATAACCATGTGAAGGAAATCTTGCTGCATTTTTATGCTTTGGTTGCCCGGTTCTGGGACATTTCAGGTTAAATGTTTTTGTGTCTCTGCTACCTGTAAGTATAGCCAGGGAGAGAGAGTGCTGGGAATATAAATGACTAGGCCAATTCAGAAGCAATTGGATCTGTCTGCCAAAGAGACTTGAGCCACAGGGAAAAGTAGTAACTATAAAATCGGGCAATTTTCACAATATTGTTTGGGGAAATAGATTTTTGCTATACTCCTTCCTCTCTTTTTTATGGATCACTCTGATGCTTTAACACCATACGTTGAGCAGAGTCTCAACAGCAAAATGTCACAGTTAATCTTAGATCTTTGTAGTGTTATTAATATGCCTTATGTTATAGTCCAAATGTTTCCTGGTTGCGACAGGCAAGACATTAGAATAAAACCCAATATATTGTTAGGTAGAAATGACGACAAAATTCAACAAACAGACACTTCGCTCAGAATAAATTATTGGATTTTTTTTAAAAAAACGTGATTGTGGCAGAATGTTGCCTTTACAGTATACAGAGACACTTCAAGTACTATACCATCCAATATTAGATTAATATATTGAGGTTTTCTAAAAGTAGTTTCAGGGGTGATTAATCATTTATTTTGCATTTATGTTAATTTAATGCCACTCTTCTCAGAAGGGCATAAATGATTTTGCCCCATCCATTTTTTTAGAGCTTCTCCATATCCCTCTGTGAACACCCTCAAACTCCTAGAGGCATTCTCAGAATAGCCACCAATTTAATATACTAAAGCCACTGTGCAGACAGCCTGAGTTAACCTGCATTTCCACCATCTCAGCCATAAATCATCACAGAAATCATCCTCCAGTCTCCACTCTCAAAATTTATGTTTCTGGCTCTGTTTGTAGCAAGAAAAACAAAGAAAGTAGTCTGAATTTAAAAAGCCAGAAGCAATACAAGCAATGGAAGCAGGGAGAGTCATGGAAATGGGAAGTAACATTGTAGTGAGGTCCCATCAATAGGAAGGTGATTGACCCTGAGCCCCCATTGTGGCTCAAGTGTCTCCAAGTAAACAATGGAAGGTTTGTGATTTGAGGTTGTGGGTTTCTATCTCAGAAGAAAACCTCAGATAAAGGCTTTTTTTTTTCCCCGAAGGAAAGTGCTCTTCTGTTCAAAGGAACGTCTTGAGATAGTTAGCACTGAGGGTTGTGATTGCCCCAATACAAGCCAACGAGTTGGGTCTGGAACCAGGATTTTACTGGTCGAACACATGAAATTAATAAGAATTCATACTAGTTTGTGGTTTAAAATAATAAACACAAAATTAATAAAAATAAGATTATAAATACTACTGTGATATGTTTTTTGAGCACCTGTTCCCTTGCACTAAATAAACTACTGTAGTTAGATTCTATGTTCAAAAAGCTTTTTTTTTTTTTTACAATTGCAGTATTCCACTAGCATGTTATTTTTCTTCAAAACAATTTGCAAAGGTGGGAAATGGAGTTGGTACATTTCTTATCAAGGGACTGGCTTCTTTATTTGCAGGGTACTCAGGGAACAGACAGCTGTTTCAAAGACTTTTCAGTCTGAGTCTAGATGAAAGAGAAGCAAAGCAAAACAAGGAGCTAAAATTCCACATTTTTAGTTGAGGCATACTGATAGAATACAATACTTTTCACTCTGTTAATGCATATTACATTCTAGGAAAATATGTATAATATTTTCTAAATCTATATCTATGGATATATGAAAATGTTATCCTCTCTTTTTAAAATTCATTCCCTCTCACTCTCTTTGCTGGGCTGATGTAGAAATGACTTATGTAAGTATGGAATAGATCAGTGGTGGCGAACCTATGGCATGCATGCCAAAGGCGGCACTCGGAGCCCTCTCTGTGGGCACATGCACCGTTGCCCCAATCCTGCCTCCCTCTGCCTCCCCTCCTCCCCAGCAGCCACCCCAGAGGAGAGTCGCCCCTGTGCGTGGCCCGCACGGAGCAGCGCAGCCAAGCACATGGCAACTGGGCAGCAGGAACAAAACTCCACCCTCATGCCCCATCGCGTGCAGTTGATGCTGTGGGGCATGGGTGAAGGGTGTGGCCGCCATGGCACTGCTGGGCCCCTGGGTGATCTGCTGCGGTGGGCCGTGGGGACGGTAGGTGGCCCTGCGGGCAGGCGGGGAAGGGCAGAGTGGGGATGGAGTGGGAGTGGGATGGGCAAGGGGGGCAGAGCAGGGGTGGGCCAGGGGCAGTGCAGTTTTGGGGCACTCGGTCTCTAAAAGGTTCGCCATCACTGGAATAGATCTATCATTCCAAAGGATGTTAGTTATTGCATGCAAAGGGTTAACTTTTCTGGAGCCAGTAATCGCTGAACAGAATTTTATATTGAGAATGTTTCCTTTGCACTATACATCAGTTTGATTTTCATGAAAATCCATATTTTCTTCTTTGAAAGCACAGTACCTTCTCATTTTGCAATTTCATGTCAGGAAAAGTTTCTAAAGAGATATAGTTCAAGTGTTACCATTCAGCATGGAGCTCCCTCCCAGGTAGAGTAGACAACTGATTTCCCTGTGATGGAAAATGACCTAATTTTGCTGGGATATATAATCTGTCACAAGAGGAGACTTGAAAACAAACCACCTAGAAACAATATCTGAGCTTCTAAATGACATGGAAGAGATCAGATTCTCTTGAGGGGTCCTGGACTCCCCTCTTTATTATTTTATGATGGTGGATACAATGGACCAAATCCATGCTGTGGACTTTCCACAAGGGCATCCAAGCAGTGGGTAAAACCAAAGGTAGAAGACATAAAATGCAGTCAGATACTTAGAATATTTTTCCCCCAGATTTTATGAGGCATCCACCAAGGACTCAGATGGGATAAAATCTGAGAAATGTAATAAAAACTTAATTCTGAAGTCCAATTATTTGTACTGATTTTTTTTTAGTTTCCTAAGTGTTTTCTTTTTGTTTCTGATGAATTCTAAGCTAACTGAGGAGTAATCAGACACAGTCAATTGATTGAACTATAAAAATCCAAAAATCTTCCTGTAGAGGCATGTAAAAAGTTTAGAGCCATACCCCCTGTACCTAATTAGGCCAAAGTCCATTTTTCATTCTTTTCTTTTCAAGTCAATCTTTAACTACTTTTTTCTCCCAGTTTTCTTTCTTATTTTTTTTCCTGATTTACAGATTTTAGCATATTGTCTTCTTTTTTTTCTGTTAACAGGTGATCTCTGCATTGCCCAGTCATTGAAAATCCCACAGGATCGCAAAAACAAGACCTACGAATTTGATAAAATTATCAAGCTGCTTCTAGATACACCCAGAGCCAGGGCTATCATTGTCTTTGCCTACGATGAGGATATAAAGTAAGGATGCCTGGAGAAATTAACTTGTTTACATGTAATTAATTCAAGCAAGATGGTTTAGAACATATGAGAACCTACCTTTATACAGATGTACATGAATACATAGAGAAGGGAGTCTGAGCTGAAAAATAGTTATAGCACAATTTGTGGCTTGGGTTGCCTGAATACATATTTTATGGTATCCACATTCTTAGGCTTAAGTCATCATCTGAGCAATAAATGAGGTGATAAGCATGTTCTTGGGTAGTATAATTTCAGATTAAAGGAGCAGGATTTATGGACGGATATATTTTTTTCCGGGTAGAAGAAAAACTCCCTGAATAACATTCTAGCAAGCTGGCAGAGAATATCAGGAAGAAACTTTCCCATGACAGCAAGTACAATATGTTTGGTTACATAAAACCTCAGCTGCTGTAGTAATGGTAAAACCTAGAAATCATTTCCAAATATCTTCTATGTGAGCTTGGTTACAATATGTTTTGTGTGCAACAAATGCTGCTGTAAAAAAAAAAAAAACCAACACTATCTCAAATCAATTGCTTACGTTCTAGACAGATTTCTCTTTCCACGCTGACTTTTGAAGCTCATTATTCTGCACTTTGAAGTCTGCCTCCTCTCATCTGTTAAAGCAAGAAAGAAATCAGAAGCTTGGGAAGCTGAATTGGGTGGATGGATGATGAAGTCACTGGCCTTGTGATTCTGTCTCTTCCACCATAGCTCTAGAGCAGGCATCAGGAACCATCCTTGGTGGTAATTCAATTTTGGGGAAAATAAGTTTGCAACAAGGCTAAGCTACAAGGCAAAATGTTTTGATTAGGTATGCTAGTTATTGGACATTAAGATTTGAAGGACCAAACCTGCAAAACATTTGAAGAATTCTATGCAGATTCATAAATATAGATTTTATAAACCTAAACTGGTTTAATAATGCAGATCGAATGTGCTACAGCAGATTTTGGAAGAGATATGGAACTAAAACTGCACATAATAGAAAGGAAATATTTAATCTTTCATTCTGTCTGAAAGTATTTCGATATGAAAAACTTTAGCAATTTTCTTTTCAGCACGCATTTAGAAATAATAGTAAATTCCAGCCACGTCTTCTTGTTCAGAGTGGATAGCTGAGAATTCAGTAAAGGGGAGGGGGGAGAGTTACTATAGCACAGTGATGGCGAATCTTTTAGAGACTGAGTGCCCAAACTGCAACCCAAAACCCAAAACCCACTTATGCATTGTCGGGTGCCGGGTGGATGTGGCCTATTGGGTGGGTGTGGCCCATGGGTGGGTGTGGCTGCGGTGGTAACAGCAGACTGGGTGGGACTTAAAAGTTCAATCAATCAATTCCAACTTTGCAAGATCTTTTTTTTTCCGCGAGAAGTTGAAATTGAGTGATTGAACCTTTTTTTTTTTTGTACACGGCGGCGGAGGCCTAAAGCGAAAAGGTTTTATAAACCCAGCTGAAGGCCTAGGACTGGGGCAACGGCGCACGTGCCCACAGAGAGGGCTCTGCGTGCCACCTGTGACACACGTGCCATAGGTTCGCCACCACTGCTATAGCACCAGCAACCAATAGTGAGCATGACAAAAGTGGTACCTTTGACTAAGGGGAAGAAATTGAATAGTATTAGTCACTTAATAGTATAACAAACTAGATTAGTAGCACCTGTTCAGCATCTGACATAAAAATAGCCAATTATGGGAATGCTGACCACATTGCCTGAGTATGCATAGGAGATTCAGTTTAATAGACTGCCTCTGATCTCATGCTCAGAGCTTGAGCAAAATATGTGAGGGAAATTGCATGAGTGGCTGTGTGTGCCTTAATATTAACTTGCAATAATTTATATAACTCTGAAGCAGGAGTGCATGCATAATCAAGCAACCCTGCTTCAAATTATTACCCATTCCTAAAGTGGCACGCTTGGTAATTTAAAGGAGAGAAAGAGAGCAATTGTAAACTATATAATTTATTAACACCATGTGTCTCTAGACAGAATGGATTATACCTATTATCCTTCACTTATATTGGCTGCACATCTGGAGGGTGCCAAGTTGAAGAAAGTTGAATTACATATTGATTACAGTGGTCTAGAAAAGCCTGCAAGAGTGCAGTGCTTGGGACACGGAGGTGTGTTGCTTTCTATGTGACTAATGAGAAAAAAAATATCCAATAAGAATTTGTACTTCTTTTATCTAAATCACCCATGAACTGACATCATGTAGAGAGCCAGCGAGAGGAACATTTCTTAAGTCCTGTGAAGAGAGATAGTATTAAGAAGGCACTCAGGCTGAGTCATCCCTGACTCACTGGGGTAGAAAAGGCAGGGGAGAAGAAACATAGTCACATTTGCAAGATTCTTATTATTACAACCTATCTCAATAAAATATAGATCTAGTCTTCTGGTGGACTTTGTTTCCTGATCTGGGTTACCTCAAGAGACTTACGTTGCTACTTTTATTTGGGTTCTTATGAGAAACTAACATTTGCATACTTTTAGTCATCTGTACTTCTGAAGTATAAATTATGGTCTGGAGGGATCAGCAAGTAAGACTAAGCTCAGAAGAGAATTAGCAAGTAGTAGTTTCCAAAGGTATTATTCTTTCATAAACTAAGTAGAAACTCTAACATATTTTCTCGACAGTTTCCGTTCCTCTTCTGAGTCAAAGAGATAGCAGATTGCTCTGCAATAGGTAGACAGTCACTTCGCTTCCCTCTTACTCTATTTGTTTATTCTCTTTTCACAATTCTAGTTTTGCAGCTCTAAGACCAAGAGGCTTAGAATCATGTCTACAGTATATATACTGCTCAAAAAAATAAAGGGAACACATCCTATAAGAAATCCTATAGGATGTGTTCCCTTTATTTTTTTGAGCAGTATATTTTCCATTGGCTTCAAAGACAGGAATCTGAAATACTATAGCAGTGGTTCTCAACCTGTGGGTCGGGACCCCATTTGGGGTCGATCGACCATTTCATGGGGGTCGCCAAGCAAGGCTGTCCGCCATTTTTTTTGTCCATTTTTTTTGTCCGCCATTTTTTTCCCCTTTTCCGGTGGGTGCCTTACCTCCCTTGGGCTGGGCCAGCTGGTGGTCGGCCTGCTCCGTCTCTGCCGCTTGCCAGCTACGCCTCGGCCGGCGCAGGGGGCGGAACCACACATGCGCGGCGCTCCTGGGCAGGGAAAGTCCTCGACTTACGACCGGTTGGGTAGTCCTCGACTTACGACTGGTTTAGTCCTCGACTTACGACCAGTTTAGTCCTCGACTACGACCGGTTGGGGTCGCGGCATTAAAAAGGTTGAGAACCACTGTACTATAGCATCAAAGAATTGTTAACTTTCAGAACTTTCCAGAAAAAAATATTCTAACAAAATGAAGTCATGAAAGGGGAAGAAACAGTAAAAGAGAGGTCCATGATAATAAAAAATAAAACACTTGTCAATATAGACATTTTAGTCAGGAAACTTGACCCGTTTTTCTATGATACTGCCCTATATAAAGGGTTGAATTAAAGTGCTGTGATTCTCCTAATAAGTTATGCTCTTTTAGATTTTGTTTTGCAATGCAGTGAAAAAATAAAAGGCAAGCAGTTGGAAGACATGAAACCATCAGAGCCACTGAAGCCTATTGATTAGAAAGGCTATAAAAGTGTGCTGACTATATATATAAAAAAAGGTGCTGACCTTATAAGGTTCATACTGTAGCAGCCAATCCTGCCTCTATAGTCTGCGATAGATGTGTTAGTTATCACACAATAAATTAGGTTTTGCTTCCATAACCCTAACTATAGATTTTCCATTAATCTAAAAAAGGAAAACAGTGAAAGCAACAGGTTTAACTTGAACTTGAATATTAATATTTGCTTTTAATCCATTGCCTCTACTTTTCATATCATGTCAAAATAAAGATTGTCCATGATTTGAATTTCCTTTTATGGATTTTCTCTCTGAGTTCTTTCCGCAGGCAAAATCCAGTTTGACATTATTTCCCCCAAGTGTCAACTATTGAGTTAGAATACTGGAATTCAATTTCCAGTTTTGACTGGAAGGACAAATGCAACTAACAGGTCTCTGTTCTGATATAATAAGGTTTATTTGAAATCAGTAGACTTGGAGGGAAAAGGGAAGAAAGAATATTTATGCATAAGGCTTACAGCATGGGTGTCAAACTCGATCATGTCACATGACGTATCGTGCCTTTGTGGAGCCAGGGTGGGCATAGCCTGTGCGTGACTTATCCGGCCCATGGGCCGCCAGTTTGACACCCCTGGCTTACAGTTTATGACTAAAATTAGCTCCATCCTTTCCCAAACTGAGTATCCTTCTCCAACCAGCATGGATATTGATGAGAATTCTAAGAATTAAAAGTCCACATTCAGTAATGGTGAACTAGTAAAAAAGATTGCAAAACTGGTCAGTTATACCAGTAGACAGATATACAATCACCATTTAATATTACAGAGATCAATTCTCAGCCTTGGGTTCTTCAAATATTTATAGATGACTTGGATGATAGTAGTAGATACCTGCCTGGATGGAGGCTTAGAGTAGATGATTTCCAATGCTTCTTTAGTTTGTTATTCTTCAATAGAAAGCAGCTGAGTTAGAAAAGCAGATAAGCTGAAAGGCAAAAAAGTGATATAGAGGGATAGCATAGCTAGGACTGTTGCAATAACTTGATGGGCCATTTGCTGTAGGGCCATTTGCTGTAAAATGCAAGGTTATAGCATGAACTCAGAAGGAAGGGAAGAGATGTGTATTTCAAAGCCTGCCTAACAAAGATAAAGGAAGAGGGAGTGTGGCTAGGTGGGGCCCCTTTCAATGAAGAAAACAAGAGCTGACCATCAGGTATATCATACAAGACATATTACTAAGATAAGGAATAAGGCTAAGACAGAGTCAATAGAAGATGCCTATTAACTTTTAGGAATAGGGATGAAGTAGAGCCAATAGAATACTTGTTAGATAACTTTTGAAGTGTTTATTAGTTAAGACTTAGAAATAGGGATGGCATGGAGCCAATAGAGGACCCTTTAAATAACCTTTTAAAAGCCTATTAGACAATGTTTCTTTATCCTGCCTTGAGAAACTGTATAAAAGCTTGTTGAATCCTTTGTTCTGGATCCTGGCATTTGGCTGGCTGGGATCCCTTTTGCTGAAGCACTTCTATAAAAGGAGATCAATCCTGCACCTTATGTCTGGTAGTCTTCATCAGCTTTGGCACCAGGTTAAGACACACATTTGGGGACAACAACCTGTTCTTGGCTCTTTTATAAATGACATATTATGCCCTAAAAGCAAGGAGTGAAGCTGGTCCCTGTTTTCCCCAAATTCCATGATTCTAAGAATACAATGCCAAGCAGATCTCACAAAGTTACTTTTTTCTGCCCCTGAGTCATTCAATCAGGTTAAGAGAGAATTTTCATATTGATTATGACTGGGAAATTAAATCCCCTACTTAATGCAAAATTTCAGAGTATTTTCATGGTTTCATATTTAATGCATTGCAAGGTCACATGTTGCCCTCACATAAGAGAAGACTTACATAATGTTGGTTTTATTGTGTATAGTTTGGATGTGTTGCTAATGTGATATTTTATGATTTTATTGTATCGGTTTCATTTGTATATCATCTTGATATACTAGGAGAAAGGAAAAATAAAAAAATATTTCCAAGAACAGCAAAAACAAAAATAAATATTGCCATACTCTATAATCACACCATATTGGTGCTTTGTTTTGTCTGTGTAAATCTTCAGGCCTGGCACTATTTTTTTTTTAAACTGTTTTGTGGATCACAGAAACATTTTTTCTCTTGGTACACTCATTTATATTCTGTTTTCTTTCTAACCAATGAATTTTCACTGCTTTGTTTCAGGATAGCATACAGGAAATTGGTAGGAAGTTAGGGAATGTGATCTTTTCTCCTCTGAATTAGCAAGTACCTCAGTCTGTTAGAATATAATATATATTGAAGATTTTGTTTTGAAGAATTATATGGGATCATTCATCTGACATTTCTGCATAGTATAAGGAGGTGGGGAGGAGAGAAATATAATGCATTCAAATATTTTCATCCATTGCCTCTTTGTTAACACCAGGGTAGAACTGAATGGTGTATTGGTTCAAATAGCATGAATGCCTGGACTGGTGTAGTTATTCCCAAATTTACTCATTCCATTCTTGCTATATGCTCAAGCAATGTTTCTTGTGTTCTCATTTCTGAATTACATCTCAGAAATGAAACAAGAGTTGTTATTATATTTGATTCTCTTTCTAAGAATCAATAGTGCCCCTGAAAATAATTTTAGATGGATCAATGAACAGTAATTTCATAAAAAAAATTGTATGTAGGAAAATGGGATTCTGCTAGATTTGGAAACAATGTTTTGGTTGATTGAATAATCTTCCAGGCTGTTTGTGATGAAGAAGTGAGAATTATTCAAGTGTAATTTTGCATGTGTGATGAACTTCATTAGACTTTTGCAATAACTTAGTTGAATGGCATCTTCCTGCTGCATTATTTTATTTTTTACCAAACAAATTAAATCACATTTTTCTTTCTTGGCCAATGAAAATCTCAGGGATTAGTAATATCTAAAAGTATATCTTTGAACAAATTTCTGACTGAGAATACTCTGTCCAATTTTTGTCTGGTCATGGCTATAAATAATTGTATTCAATGTTACACATTTATTTTTCCCAAGTGGAACAATGATTTCTACCTCTATTAGCCTGAACCAAGTTTGATCAATCTTCTTCCTCAGGTGTCTCTAACTTGATTAAATTAAAAGATTATGCCTAGTGACTCATATTCTAGCTCATAGACATAATTGTTATCCTTAGCTACGTGGTTCACTTCACTGTATTTTAAAAGAATCTTTTAATTTAAAACATATAGGAAGATGACTTGCTGTGAAGCAAACATTACTCTCTTTATTTTCAGAGTACTTCTGGATCCAACACAGAATATATAAACATCTTTAGAAAATAAAATTAGTGATTCTTGAGGTAACTGTGATCAATAAGGGGCAATGGGAAAGAACTTCAGCAGTTTTCCTCCACAAAAAAACCAGGTACAAGTAGTCCTTGACTTATGACCATAATTGAATTGAAAATTTCTGTTGCTGAGTGAGACAATTATTAAATGAATTTTCCCCCATTTTATGACTTTTCTTGCCACACTTGTTAAGTGAATCACTGCAGTTGTCAGGTTAGCAACCTGGTTGTGAGTCTGGCTTCCTTATTGACTTTGCTTGTCAGAAAGTCACAAAAGGTAGTCACATGACCCCGGGACACTGCAACCATTATAAATACAAGCCAGTTGCCAAGCATCCAAATTTTGATCATGTGATCCTGGGGATTCTGCAACAGTCATAAATATGAAAAACAATCATGCCGTTAAAACTTTGAATAGCCACTAAATGAAAAGTTGTAAGTTGAGGACTACCTGTACATATATTGTGATGAAACCCAATCCAACAGCCATTTTATGAATAAATAATCTTCTTTCATGGCAGTCATTTTGTAAGAAAAATATTCAAAATTATAATTGGCTCTTATTTCTTCAGCTGAGCCTGTGAGAGTGAATGTAATTTTATCAGTAGCTAGAAATCCAAAAGACATTCAAGCTGCTTTGAGTCCAGAATTTGTTTTATTTTATTAAATGCAGACCTCGAGTTGACAGTTGCTTCATATAGATCCTAAGATTTCTTCATTCATGCAACCAGAATTGGTTGAGAAAGCTCATTTGATGCTTATTGAATGTTATCATTATTTGGGCATTAGAAATACTTGGTAATTCATTGTGAATTACTTATATAGTACATTTTTGGTAGGTCCTGATATATCCTAAGTTCATTCTTGGTCATATCAAAAGTCCATCTTGTCTAGGATTTTCTGTCCATGATCATAAATACTGTTGCACTGAAAAGCCCCATGTAACTGAGCTAGTAATTTTCTGGCAAAGGAAGGAAGAGATAGTAATTCTTTCTGTCCTGGTTAAAATTCTGACAACATTGTGATTTTTGGTGCACTTGAGATTGCTGAAGATTCTCTTAAGCCAGTTCTCCCATCTGATCTAGCTTGTCCCCCATTTACAGGATATAGTTAATATTGCTTGAAAAAGGCCTGGCCTTTCCTTATTTTCCCTAGCCATCTGAAAGGTTCTCCTGACTTTTTAGCCATATAACTATTCAAAAAGAAAGAATCCTATAGAAATATGAGGAGATTTCAAGAACCCCCTCAGGTTGAGCAGATGTTGCCCAGGATAAATTCATGTGGGACTCACACCTACTTAGAAAAAAAATGTTCATGTCCCAAGTTATACTGGTACTTTTGCCATAGCATAAGACCTGGATTCACTACCATCCCTTAAAACAGGCATGTCAAGCTCGCGACGTCATGTGACGTAGCGCAACGTATCACAACTTTTCCCCCATTGCCAGCAATGGGGTGGGCGTGGTTTTGGCGTGACACATCCGGTCTGCGGGCCGGCAGTTTGACATGCCTGCCTTAAAACAAGATCTTGCTCCTTTGGGATATGCAATCAGACACACCCTGTAATCAAACTGCTCACAATTGAGTATCTGCTTGTATTCCTTCCAACTGATACTGTATCTTACAACTAAGGTGACTATATAGTTTTCAAGACTAATAATCATTAATAGTATTATTTTCCACAAATTTCTTTAGTAGAATCTCAGAACAAAATTCAAACTGGGCTATACTATGAAAAAAAAAGTGTGCTTTTGTGTGTATTGTCCTAATACACTATTTTACTTTGTATGCTTCCTCCTACTGTAATAGTCATTTTTAGAAAAGTTTATGCTATTGAGTTGGCAAATTTTGCATGAACAAGCTTATTGTACCTTTGCATAGTATGAATTAGTCAGGTTTCAACTAAAATGTCATTTAAGCACATTTCTATCTCTCCTTATGCTAGAAATCCTTCCATCAAAACTGGTACTTTTCCAGAAGACTCAAAAATTAGGATGGAAAGTATATTGTATGGTTTAGCAAGCATCAGTAGTACTAATGAACACTATGTACATCTGCAATATGATTTGATTTATGGAATATGGTGTTATTTAAGAAATAATGCTTACTTTCTAAATTATATTTCTGCATTTTCAACTATATTAAGTTTCTCAGCTGATGATACAAGCCACAAGACAATGATAAGCAGTTCTTATTCAACTGAGGTGTGTGGTTTTTTTTTTTTTTAAACATTTCTGATTTTCCAGTCTGTAGGATTCATTGTTTTGGCTCATTGGGTAATTATTTTCTGCTGGTGAATGTTCCACCATATGAATAAATACTCTTTTTCTTTTTTCCCCCCTGAGAATGATAACTGTTTTCTCTTTACAGACAAATCCTTGCAGCGGCAAAAAGAGCTGATCAAGTTGGTCATTTTCTGTGGGTGGCTTCAGACACTTGGGGTTCCAAAATGACTCCAGTAATTCAACAAGAAGATGTTGCAGAGGGAGCAATCACCATCCTGCCTAAGCGGGCAACCATTGAAGGTAAGCCCTACTATTATTTTGGCCTCCATGTATACTTTTTTTTTCTTACTTACATAAAGGCAGTCTGTATAAACTGAATCCATATAAAGATATTTTTCATACATCACAGTCTTCAGAAAGCTAACATCAAGGCAACCTAGTTGGAGAGGAGCCATTATGCTGATCTGCCTCCCTTCCAAATTCTGCTACTTCTATAAGTAGGGCTGTTGGTTTTTTGAGCATTGTTTTAAAAAAGGCTTGAGATGTTTGCAGTTGATGCTTTGAATCACTTCTGATGGCAAGAAATAGACAGCATAGTAGATATCTGAAGTGCAGATGTTTTGCTGGGAATGCTATAGTCATATTTCACAGAAGACACTAGTACCGTAAAGTGTGGAGTGCTGATGTAGACTCTTGATGAATGCAGAGTCAGATATATAGCAACCCACAGCAGACTCTCTAGCAGTATCCAGGATTCTGTATGCAGATGTCTGCCTGTTTGTCAGGAGTTTTCCTTTTTGTTCCTGGGTGCCTCCCAAGTCTGGTATGAAAGAAGTCTTAGTCATCTGGAGTAGTTATACTTCAACTCCTCTTGTATTTTGTTCTCTGTTTGTTTTTTTGTTAAATTTTTCTGCCACCCATCTCCCTTATAAGGTGACTCTGTCTTCAAGTATATGATTCTGTTACTTGTAGGACTACAGCTCCTACCTCAACACCACCTTTGCTGCTTCATTGGTGGTGGTAGAGATGGGGATAAGGACAATGAGCAAAGGATGCTTATGAAATAGTAAACCAGCATGGGGGTCTACATGCTTCCAGTATGGGGATCACTCCAATGGCCTAGCTAAAGCAAGCAGGAATCTCTAGTAGGCAGCAGCAATATGGGATGATATTGGAGATAATGACAATAGCAATGGAATCATATTGGTTAAGAGAAAATAATAGTAAATCATTTCTATATTTTACCCAAAATGACAGGGATAAATAATCTAAAGTGATTAATGACCTAATGCTTGATGATGAACCTCTCAGGTCAGATGATACTCAATATGTTACTAAAGAACAACTGTAGAACTTTCACAGTACTAATAGTGTTTATGATAGAACTAGATTAAAGGATTTTGGACATCTAGTTGCTGCTATTGCTATGCAGGAAAAGAAGATGCAAAAACAAAAAAATATAGGGTGAGCATGTAACATAGGAAGCATGTGCATGGGAAAGGTCAATAAAATGAAAGATGAAATGAACTGACTACACATTGACATTTTAGGCATCAGCGAATTGAAATAGAGTGAAGTTGGATCCTTTCAGTCAGAAGAGCATACTATTCACTACTGAGAACATAAAAAACAAAATAAAAAAGAAGGATGGCTTTGCTTTCATAGGAAAGATATAGCAAAGATGGTATTAGAATACAATGTAGTCAATGACCGAATAATATCAATTAGCCTTTGCAGACAACCCTTTAATATGATGGTTATCCAAGCTTATGCTCCAACCACTGAGCCAGAAGAACAGCAGCTTGATGAGTTTTGTGCTCAAGTCAATCTGAAATGTACAGAACGTGCAAGCAAGATATGTTCTTTGTGTATGAAAACTGAAATGCCAAAGTTCAAAATAGTAATGATGAAAATGAAGTTGGATTGTATGGTCCAAGAAAGAGAAATGAAGCAAGATAATGACTTACCGGTTTCTGCCCATCCAAGGGCTTCTTTGTAACTAATACAGTCTTCAAGCAACTGAAGCAATGCCTACATACATGGACATCACTAGAAAGATAACACAGAAGTATAGATGTCTATATTACTGATACAAAGAGATAGAAATGCTCAATCAAAATATTAATATATCCAAGGGCAATTATGGAACAGATCATGAACTGTTCACGTGCAAATTTCAAGTTAGGCTAAAATGGAAGGTTAAAAAAAATGCAAGCAGTTTCCAGGATGAGCATATATTCATCATTTCCAAGTGGAACATGGAACTTTGAAGTCCTGAATATCATTGGATAGAGACCCAGAGGAATTGTGGAGTGATACCAAAATGTTCTTATAGATGAATGCAAAAAGATACTGCCAGAAAACAAAAATACAGAAGAGAGCAAACCAGATATAAGGACAGATGATGGAAGTTGCACAGAAGAAGAAGCCCAAACTAGGAAAGGCAAAGATCTTAAGAAGGAATCTCATAAAAAATTACACAGAGCTGATAGATCAGGCAAGAAGCAGTATTACAATGATATCTGTAAATACTCTATAGCTGGAAACAGACTTTTCCAAAAGTCTCTGAACTCAGAAGGCTGTTCCAGCTTTAAATTGATGTGCTAAAGGATACTTAATATTAGATTCAAAGAAGATCAAACATGGAAGGACTCTACTGAAATTCTGTACAATAGGTATGTCAATATCTATTGGAACATGTACTTCTAGAAGATGAGTAGAACAGCATTGTAGTTATTACCTTGTCAGAAAGTTATAGGAACCGAATCTGATCGAGCACAGGTAAGGATACATCTTAGATCCTACCTTGTGGCGATGAGAGAGGCTAGGACTAACTACTACGCCTCACTCATTGCGTCATCAGATAATCGCCCTGCCGCCCTCTTCAGGGTGACCCGCTCTCTCCTTCAATTGGAGGGGGGGACCCCCTGGAGGGGAGGGCAGAGGATTTTGCGCAGTATCTGTATGACAAAGTCGCGCGGATCCGAGAAGGCTTGGACTCCGACTGGTTGGCCCAGGGGGAGGAGACGGGAGCAGGTCTTGAGACGGTTGTAT